AATGCGTATTTAATGAGCATATTAATATCTAATGTAATGTTACGAAATATTAAGCCAGATACAAACGAGCGTTGGATTAAATGTCAGATATTCAGTGTGTTTTCTGTTGGATCCGTACCTATTCAATGATGACTGTTTAGGATGAAACTTAAGAGGCCGCTGGTTTAAGGATATTAGACAAATAATCATAATGAAAAAAAATGCAATATTTGTGTGTAAATAAACTAGCGAAAAATAGCAAAATATAAATTGTGAATAAATTATGTCTTACTCATTAATGTTGTTTTGTATAAAGAATATAGACTTACCCTCTGAAAATATTAATGTCGTAAGATTCTTAGCCAGGGGAATGTCGCTGGCACCGCGTCGGGACGCCCGCCTCGATGGCACTAGAACTCGTTGTGTTTCTTTCACTGTCTTGGTCTGAAGTGTCTTGAAGAGAAGTCTTGAAATCGTTACTAGGACAAAAACCACCCTCTGACCGTTGGGTGGTCAACAGCTCGTGTGCAAGTGCCATAAATCAACCCTATTGTCGGACGATTTTGAATGACGATAATTTAAAGTTAATTGTTACGGTTATACGAAACCTTACACTTGTTTCAATCTTTGTGACACACAATACAAAGGAAAAAGTCAAATTCTGCGTACTTAAACATAATAAATGAGATAGCCAGTAACAATTTTACGAAATAACAGGAAATAATATATTTTAAAAAGGTTTTTAGAGTACAGCATTGAATGAAAATCACATTCCAATACCGTAACAGAAAAATAATAAATTATGTAAAAATATGAAAAGAATTCGTACATACTTTCCCAAACAATGACTAATATTATGTTTTGAAAAATTAATTGCTACTTTTATATCATTATCAACTAGTCTATATTTGTCAACTGCTGCTATTGCTATTTAAAATAGCGGTTATTGGTCTGCTAATCAAAAATTGAGAAGAAGTTAAGAAAATACAATTACTAGAATTTGATGATAGGGCATATAAGGGACATGAATTCAAAGGGCCTTCAATCTGACTTTAAAATGTACAAAACTCTTCGTAAATTAAAAGGATTTGACCAATAGTACGATGTTAATGGTATTTGCTCCAGTTGTGTTACTTTCCCATAATCCCCAAAATGTAGATTACTAGGAAAAATAAAATGCCATACAATATTCTGAGCTGCGCAAGAGCTGACAATTTCATCCTCTCAATTTCTAATGAAATCAAAGAAAATTTTCAAACAAATTCTACAAAACTTATCTGAGTACAGAGGCTTGGATTACCACGTCTGAAAATAAGTCTTCTAAGGCCTGTCATGAAAGCTTTAGATGCAAGGAACTAATCAATTCTAAATGTACTGCTTTCGTGGCGAAATAACTAAATAGACATATATATGCCTTATACGTTTTATATCTTCTACTTTACCTCTACTTTTTCTATTTTTTAATGTGACTGGCCCTGCGTAGTCTATTCCAGTTATAAAAAAAGATTGTGATATGTTAACACAATGCTCTGACAAATCAGCCATAATTGTAGAAGTAAGTTTGGTTTTAAACCGATAGCATCTAATGTCTAGGGACATCCCTACAATTAACCCTACATATTATCCAAAATTTTTGACGAACAGTCGCTAACAAGACTTGTGAACAAACATACTAAAATTGCACATGCTCCTGACCCAAAATGAGTTTGCTTACAACATTAGTTTTATCTAAAAGTAAAAGCCTAAGAAAATATTCATTGAATCCTGACAGGCAAGGGCGGGAAAATCTTTTTGAGACATCTACGTCACGGATGGTATTAAATGTTACTCCTACTTTCAATAATCCATATTATTTGTTAACGAATCTTTTCCGAAATACTTTCTGTCTGAGGTAATCTAACATGAAAAACCTTGAAGTCATTAAATTCGACTGCTGAAATTGAGCCATCACTTTTTATTAGAATTTGATTCTAAATTACTAACAAACCTAGCAGATGTTGCACCGGGTGGGGCTGGGAAAATTTTACCGACCGTGGGAAAAAGTGGCATCCTTTAATATTTGAATTTTACCGACCGTGGGAAAAAGCGGCATCCTTTAATGTTTGCACCTGTTCAGGTGTTCGAGTGACCTCACGCTGACTGACAAGTCGAGTCATTTTGTCTCTTTCGTCTTCTTCTTTTCGTCAGCTGATCTGTTTTTCGTCCCATACCGCCTTCTTTTATTTACTAATTGAACGTCCACTGCTTGTCTGGCGACCACCATCTTCTGCTGCTGACAACAGTCAAATGCCTTGGCGTAGTTAATAAAACAAATATAGACATCACAACTGACATCGTGATATCTCTGAAGTAGTACTTGGTACTAGTAAGGTGAAAAGTGCTTTACGTACTCTCATGGAATTGCGGAATCCAAACTGTATTTCACCGATATTTTTTTCGTATTTCTTGTAAATTCTGGCAGGTATGATTTAAAAAAAAATCTTAAGTACATAGTTTTTGCAGATTGTTTTTGGTAGTGTTACACATATTGATAATAGCCATTCCTCTGAGAAATTACCTGAATCGTACATGGCGTTAAACAGTTCAGTTAACTTCCTCGTACTCACTTCACTCATTACCTTAATAAGTTCAACGGGTATTTCGTTCGAATCTGTGGCCTTGTCATTCTTCTTCTTCTCCTTTTGGTGCTTATTTGTTTTAAATATTGGCGATCATTATGGCTATAATTATTTTTCTTCTAACCATTCTTCTCTAATCATTCTTAGACTGTTTTTAAAGCTGCTTTCACCTCGCTTTTTAGTATTGACGGCCCTGTCATTCAATTTATTTCTGAAAAGTTCCCCTTTACTGTCGTCGCCAGGTTTCCGTCTTTGTTTATGAGGAAGTGTGTGTTGCTCCTCCTGTATTGACCAGCGGTTTCTCGAATCTTTCGAGGAATTTCTGTGCCCCATTTCTTTTATGAGCTGCGGTAGTCCCATTATGGTATAGTAGTTACCTTATTTACATAGTTCAGCTGTGAGATTATCTATTCCTCTTTTTTCTAGTCTGTTTCACTCACCTCATCTTTTTGTCTTGCAGGTTTTCGTTTTCTTCGTGTATATTAAGTACTCGGTTAACCCTTTGTGTCCCAAACATACATTTTTTTCAAGAATAAACGTAATATTTAAAATTTGTACACATAATGACGTTTCTAAATATATAATTAAAGTCAAAAATATATGCTTTTTCTTGTCTCACATGTAGGGGTAGTGGTACTTTAAAGTACCTTCGAGAATTAGAGGTATTACAAAAAAATTGGTATTCATTAAAACAATTTTTCTTCTCATTTGAACAAAGAAAAACATTGCAAGTAATACATTTTGAATGCGGCCGAGACTGTATTGCCTGAAAAGAGTACATTTCACATCTTCCACGTTCACTATAATACTGAATCCAATGAACTCCTCTGTTCCCTAACCTTATATCATTTGGCACACTATAGGCGTATCTCCTGCGTTTGGAAACTTGGATGTAATTGTTGTTACTTCTTCGTCGTTTGTTGTTCAATTTAGTGATGAGCCCCAAAGCTACTGATCGTCTAAAATCTAAAAGTGTCATTGCCTCTTCTTCAGATTGAAAGTATAAAATAAAAGTGTTGACAAAAGTAATGTCAAGAAATCCAAAGAATAATCTGTGCCACCATTTTTTGGATCTACGATTGAATCCATATGACACACGTAGTTGATCAGCAAGATCTAATCCTCTCATGTACTGATTGTAATCAGCTACAACTGTTGGACAAGATACATTTATTTTCGTTCCATCTTTTTGTTTTCTCTGAACAGTCGTGACTTTAGTACCATGAAAATTTGAACAAAAGTTGACACGTTTATTATCTTTCCATCTAAAATAACTGATTCCTTGAGCTGACACTCGGTAGTAAAATTGACCTCTCTCCAATTCTTTATCTGTTTTTAGGTTCTCAGGGCCACCTTTTCTGTCAACACGAATTGTTCCACACGCCAAAGTGTTTTTAGTTTTTATGATTTCTAAAAGTGGAATACTTGTAAAATAATTGTCAATATATATATATATATATATATATATATATATATATATATATATATATATATATATATATATTTGTCCCATTCCTTCTCTGTCAATGCAAGGACAACTCTTTCTCCTAGTCCCAATGCAATATTACCTTTTTGAAGTTCTGTAACTCTTCCTTGATATACATCAAACGCTTTTATATAACCTTTTTTGTCTGCCAAACATTATAATTTGTAACCCGTTCTATCGGCTTTTTAGGGTTATATTGTTTTAGGGAAGATCTACCCTTGAACAAAATTATGGATTCATCAACAGCTACTGCTCTAGTGCCATCGTAGAGAACACTAAACTGCTTGTTTAGTATATCTAATAATGGACGAACTTTATATAGTTTGTCAGTGTTGCCTGTATGTATAGAATAATTGTCATTTGCGTACAAATATGACAGAATTTCCTGGAATCTGTTTCTGGACATAGCTTGACTAATAAGAGATACTCCCAAGTCTTCAGCAGTACTCCAATATTGTTTATAGCTAGGTAACTTATGATAGCTTATAAAAAAGTTTATACCAATAAAACACATAAGTTCTTCTTCTTTTAAATTAAGTCTCTTGTTCTTCTGTATGACATATAAATTCGATTGGTAACAAATCTCTTTTAGTGAGGTTTCTAATGCAGTTAAAAAATAATCTGTTGCTGTTTTGCAGGTGAGAAATTGATCACCTAATATCCCTTCAGAATATGTATAATCTGGTAAAAGAGTGGCCTTCTCTACCTTTTGCCATTTCCTTTGTGGTTCATTTTTGTCATTTTTATTTGACTTCAAGTGTTTTGAACGATTACTATTTTTTGCTGTGTTCGTTTTATTTTTGGTATTGGCTCTTCCTCTTGTATTCTGTCATTTTCATCTGTATTGTTTGTATTGCCTTCGTTTTCCGATACGCTCCTTTCACTTTCATCATTTTCTTGTTTTTCATTATCCATACCCTTCTGCACCACCTCTTCCGAAAAGCAATGTTCATCTGTGTCTAGAGCACTAAAATTCTCTATCATTTTTTGCTCATCTTCTTCAATATCTTCTTCAATATCAGTATCTTGATTATTATCTAGCGGCAAATCCTGTAGTAATAGCTGCGCCTCTAACAATAACTCTTCATCTGTGAGAGGTTTGGTCCAATAATTTTTAGGTCTATTCATTTTACAGAAATTATAAATCTGAAAAGAATAAGATAATTAGTTCTTACTCTAAAAAAATATTTATATATACATTGTTTATGTGGGTAGGAAAAATAAACTTTATAAACGCTAACCTGTGTTTGGGCCCAACGGTACAATGTTTATGTGAACTATAATAATATAATAATTCTATGTTTTTATTATTCAAAGTAAAAAACAACATATAAATTACATTCCTGAAACAAAAATTTCTGCTTATGATGAATCAACTATAAAATAAGTTTATCTTTATAAACAAGCACGTACACTCGTTCAATAGACGCCAACTATGACTGAATTTGGTGATATTGTTAGAATACCGCTGTCACTTTTGTGACCTACGAGTGTTAGACGCATCTAATAATGTAGACTTTTAAGTACCGTCGAGTCGGAAGAAAGAATATGTTATTCATTTTTTTATAATGTGCTTTGAAAACAGTGGTACTCGGACGTACCGTCGAGACATAAAGGGTTAAAGTATTACTCTCATCGATTCAACACATCTTTTCTTGTTATCAGTACGTCACCATTTGGACTTCTGCATTGGATTGTAGTTGCGTTGAATATTTTTTTGTTTATGTTAACTTCCCTATATAATAATCTAAATTCTTTCTTTTTGTTGTTTTCTATATTTTCGGGTTTCTAGTTTCCAATGCTAATATTTTATGGGTTATCACATGACTGTATTGCTGTACCGGACGTAAAAATATTATATTAGGTATATGTTTTTCTTAAATTGGCCTTTTTTTTCTCTTTTGATATCTAGATTATTCTATCGATCCATACTGTAAACAAACAAGTACCTCGTAGGTACCAAGCCGTTACAGTTTAAAACAGCACAAACCTAAAAGATTATAGTAATTTAAGATGATGTACGAAACGCAATCTTGTATATAATAATAACAGTTAATTTTAATGTTGTGTGCAGGTATATTTTGAAAGTTAACTACATTATAATGTAGTTATTCTGTTTTATGAAATTTTCTTCGATAATAAACGGGTACTCATATAGATTTCTTTCAAGATAGCCTGAATAAAATAAAAAAAAGGAATTTGTAAATAAATCAGTGTGCGAAATCGAGATTGATTGTAACAAAACTGTATAGTAACAGGATGTCGATTCTAACCGTTTATATACTTTTTTAGCTTTTAATCACATATTGCTCCATGTGGTTAAATTCGTTTTACATGAATATAGAATTGTTTTATTGGAACATGTTCTGTGTGAATTCTATCAAAAAACAATCTGACCGAAAAAAGTAAGGAAATGATCAAAATGTAAGAATAGGTAGCTGAAAGTGTCATTATGATATAAGAAAATATTTAAAAAACTACAGCCCAATAATTTGTCTAAAATTTTACAAAAGTGGTTTATTTTTCATTAAATGTGCTATTTCTAAAGATAATAGGCCGTTACACATTAAATGGTCCTTCAGAAAGGGGGCTGGTGAGCAAGGTTAGCAGTCTACCTACTATCAAAAAAATCAATGCTCATGGAACTGAACAGAAGCCTCGAAATTGGAAGACAAATGACAAAGAAGCCAAATAATTCACGAATTGGTACTTGGAACATCGCATCGTGGAACAAACGGTAACAGGAAGTTGTGCAGGCATTGGAGCTCTATAGAATTGATATATGTGCCCTAAACAAAACAAAAAAGAAAGGGAATGGAAGTGCCAATAGAAACAAATTTATATTCCTGTACAGCGGAGTAGATAACAGCAAACGAGCTCAGGCAGGAGCAGGCCTCTTAATGCACAATAAATATAGTAACAATATTCAAGAAATAAGATACATCAACGAACACATAATGCTGGTTTGCCTTAAACAGATGATATTATCCCCGTATATGCACCGGATAACAACAAAAACAATAAAGACAAATATGCTTTTTATGGACAGCTCCAAGACCTACTGGACACTACAATAGCCGGTAATAAAACAATAATTCTCGGCGACCTAAACGCCAGAGTAGGCAACATACCTGTGGCTGGAGTTACACAAAGATCTAACGAAGAAACGCTCAACGACAACAGAGAAACACTTCTAGAACTACAAATTTTGATAAAACTTATTGTATTACTGATGTCTTCTTATAGAGTTTCTTTTAAATTGTGTTTTATTTTTGCTGTCGATCTTGCTGTTGAGTACACTGGACAGTCTATCATAATATGTTGCACTGAAAATGGCATTTGACAGGTGTGGCAAATCGGCTGTGGGTGCTTAAATGTACTTGTATGGCCTAGCCGCAGTCTGTTAATAATTACTTGGTTACGTCTTTGAGCTGGGAGCGGTAGTAAAGCAGAAGTAACATCTGGTTTGATAATTTTTAATTTTGCTTTTGTTTGGTTCCATTTTAATTACCAGGTTTTGTTAATATAAGTTTTTATTAATATTTTTTGGTCTGAGATTGGTATGTTTTGCATAATAGGAATTGTCACGTTATTGATAGTTTCTCTTGCTGCTTTATCAGCTGCTTCATTATCCTTTATTCCAACATAGGATGGTACCCATAAAAATTTTATGTTTTTACCACGTGTTTGGGCAATGTATAGCATGTCTTTTATTAGTGCCAAATTGGCATGAGTAGGATACATCTGCTTGACACCATTTAAGGCACTCAAAGAATCTGATATGATAAGAAAGTTTATATCATTATTGGTATATTGGTTCAGTGCGTTGAAGATTGCTTGCAGTTCTCCAGTGTATATGCTACACTCCTTGGCTAGACGGGTGACAGAGGTGTTGTCTTCAAAAATAGCTGCAGCAGCTACACAATTACTGCTTTTAGAGGCATCAGTAAAAATTAGTTTGAAATCAGGGTATCTGGAGATGGTAGACTGGAATTGTTGTTTTATTTAAGAAGGATTGTGTGATTGTTTGGGATAGTTAATTAAGGTAAAATCTACTTTTGCTATTTGAACTTTCCAGGGAAGATATTGCCATCTATTTGTAGAAGTGGCTTTCAATTGATGTATATCGAATTCAAATCAATTTATTCGTTCATTAAAAGGTAAGTTTCTAGGGCAATGATTTCAGTACAGATTTGGAGGGTCGCTCCTTATTAGGCTAGTTATAAACGGGTTTTCATTTGCAATGAGATATTTAGTAGCACAACACATCGAAAAATATTGTCTTCTAAGAGCTAATGGCGGTTCCCCTGCTAGGACTTAAAGGCTGCTAATTGGCGTGGTTCTGAAAGCTCCGAAAAGTATACGTAATGCTGTGGATTGGATGATGTCCAGTTTGTTCAATTGACTTTTAGTAGCAGTTTCGTAGCAAATACATCTGTAATCTAGTTTGCTTTTGATATAATCGTAGAAGAATAGTTGTGTTTGCGCCCCATTTGTGATTGGAAAGAACTTTTAGAAGATTTATTCCCTGTTGATATTATTTAATTAGTTCATTTATGTGCGATGTCCATTTGAGTTGAGAGTCGAATGTTATTCCCAAAAATTTGATTTCGTTGATTGTTATAAGAGTATTTCCGTTTAGTTTTAAATTTAAGTGGTGTTGTGTTTTCTTTTTGTCAAATATTATTACTTTAGTTTTTTCGCTTAAAAATCTCAAGCCTATATCTAAAGACCACCCTTCTAATTTATTTAGTGTATTTTGTAATATTGATGCAGCTGATTTTAGGTTTTTACTTCTCATATATATTACAAGATCATCGGCGTAAAGGTTTGTTTTTACTGGAAGCATAAAATGGTTAGATACGTTGTTGATTGCTATTTAAAACAGCAGAGGGCTTAATACAGATCCTTGAGGGATACCATTTTCCAGTGATTTCTTAGTTGACATGACACCGTTTGTTTTAACTTTTATACTTCTGTTCTCCAGGAAGTTTTTGGTGAAGGCTAAGAATTTGCGATCTATTTTCCAACCTTTTATTGTTTTTAAAATGCGATATGTCCATGTGGTGTCAAATGCTTTTGTGATGTCAAAAAAAAATTACTATTAACTTTTGTTTATGTATAAAAGCTTTGTGTATTTCAGATTCTACTGCTATAATATTATCTATTGTAGACCGTTCTGATCGGTACCCACTTTGGATGGATATAAGGAGATTTTTCTTTTCAAAGTACCATTTTAATCTTTTGCTTAGAATCTTTTCCATTATTTTGCAGATGTAACAGGTAAGACATATTGGTCGATACGAAGAAGATAGGTTTTTTGGTTTATTGTCTTTTAAAAATGGTATTATAATTGCTTCGCACCAGAGAGATGGTAATTTATGGGTCGAACAAATTTTGTTGAAGATCTCTACTAAAGTAACCTTCGCGCTAATAGGTAATTTTTCGATGAAAATTGGTGGTATGTCATCAGGTCCAGGTGAGGTATTTTTGAGGTTATTAAGACTTTCATTTAAATCATCAAGTGTTATGGAAGTGTGTAGTGGACTAGCAGTATCTTCTATGTTAATTTTTGATGTTTCTGTTCTTTCTTTATGTTCTAAGAAATTTGGGTGCTTCTAGAACTTTGTTTAATAAATAACCTCCGAATTAAAAACACATACTTTAACCACACAATACAACATACGATCATCTTGTCAGATACGAGATAACGTAACTCTATGATTGACTACAATAGCAATCACCACACAAGGCAAGCGAAAAACAAAATAAGAAGGAAAGTTAAACATAGAAAGCTTAAAAGAAAAAGGAACATAAAACTTGTATAGAAACAGTATAATGGAAAAGCTAAATAGCCATAACCTAGAGACTAAAAAGAATATAGAAGAAACCTGGAAAATTATAAAAAAATGTATCCTACAAGCAGCGGAAGAAGCTTTAGGTTAGAGAAAAGTTAACAGAAATAAACGGGAATACAAAACTCCATGGTGCGACAAAAGGGTGAAAGCACTAGTAAATGAAAAAAAACAAGCTTTCCTAACATACAAAGAAATGAAGAGACTGGAGGCACGAGAAGACTACGTGAGAATCAGGAATAGAGTAAACCAAGAAATAGATAACATCAAAAA